TATTATTATTATACATTCATGGGGGATTGGGGTGAACTGATTTCTTTTTAAAGTTCTCTTCTAGAGGAACAGAGGCAAACCCTAAATAAAAGTAGGGATGGGGGAAAAATCTGCACTATCATTCATCTTGCCCCCTCCCAAATACTTAAAGATCTGTTTTTAATTCCTTAGATTTCCTGGGCTAATCCTCCCCCCCCAAGAAATTCAACTGCCTTTTTTTTGGGGGGGGTTGATATTTGAAACCAGCAAGGCCTGAAAAAGTAAATTTTCCAGGTTTTCTCCCCTTCCTCCTTCACTGCATAGGAAGAAATGCCTGCAAAGCCAGGTCGATTCTCTTTAGGAAAGGGGTGGGGAAAGGGGGGGGCGGCCTGATCCTGCACCAAATCGATCAGCATGGGAGTTCCATTGATCAGGCAACGCATTGATCCGTATGGATCCCTTCCCGTCGCTTAGCAAACGCCATGGCACCCCTTCACTTCCTGCTTCAACCCCACTGCAGCAGAGGAACGATCAATCTTCATTTTAGGGGTGTTTCCCCCACACACACCACCTCTTCTTGTTCGGTGCTGGGTTCAGGCAACACAAAATTCCTATTTGGTGCACTTTCAGGCAACACAAGATTCTTCATCAATAGTCTTTAAAGTAACACTAGATTCCCATTTGGCACACTTTCAGGCAAAACACGGCTCTTCCTCATTAGCCACAACCCTCCTTGGGGTCTCCTTTAAGATAACACACGATTCTTCTTCAGCAGCCTCAGAGGCACCCAGAGAGGCTCCGTTGTTTCTTGAAAGAAGGGCGATGCTTTTAAAAAGACCATCGGTCCACAGTGGAGTTGGCAACGGCAGGAAACCATCGACTCTATTGATTTTGATGGGCATACTCTGGAGGAAATGGTGATGTGGGTTCCCAGCCGTGTCTGTCTTTTGAAACGCTTGCAGGTTAAGAGGAAGGGAGAGAGAAGGCCTCCTGGACTTTTTCTGAGAATTATATTTTTGCTCACCCATTAGAATGTACGCAAATTGATTTTATTCCCACCTCAGCAAAATATACAGTTACAATTTAGCTTCCTAGGAATGGAAAGGCACTTTCTAGTTTAGCTTGTTTTCTAATCATCTTCATGCACTTATTTTATTTTTCTTTATTTTGTATTATTTTATTTTTCACCTCCTCCTTTTCTGCTTCCCTTCCCTTCTTTTCCTCTAAGTTGATGATGATTGGGGGGGGGAAGCCTTTTAAAGTCAGCTTGTTTGACTCTCAGAGTTCTTGCTCACCCCCCTCAAATCCATACTGCGATTGTGGGCCTTTTGCGAGACCGACTGTGATGATTGGGGGGGGGGGGAACCTTTTAAACTCAGCTTGTTCGACTCTCAGAGTTCTTGCTCACCCCCTCAAATCCATACTGCGATTGCGGGCCTTTTGCGAGACTGACTTAAATGATAGAAGCCAAGAGGGCAACCTTTCGGGACCACACTGGTCTCTTCATCAGCCAAGATGCCAGAGAAGGAAGAAAGGGAGGGGAAGACTCAACGCGAGTCCTTCTGTTCTCCACAACACCTTAAGATCATGATGGTGGCCAGTCAGGAAGGGCCAAAATGAAGCCCTCTGTATGATTTTGGACTGCAACCCCCATCAGCCTAGTTGGTGATAAGAATTCTGGGAGATGTAGTCCAGCAGCATCTGAAAGGCCACCATGTTGTTGTAAACTGGATGGTTGTGTCTCTAAATGTGTTTTATTCTGAATAATCTCCAACTCCAGGACCTGTTTGCCTTTGGGTTCCTTTTTTTTCTCACCCTTTCTGATCTCAAGCCTGCTGCCAGCCCAACCATTTCCATTCAATCGGCTCAGAAGAGGTGCGTAAAGACTATCCATGTATTCTGGGGGGTGTGCGCGCCTCCCATCGTCCTTGCTCTTCTGATGTGATGGGAGTTGTAGTCCACCAGACACAACAGCATCCCCCCAAGCCAAGAGCAACTCCAATGGTATCCTCATCGGACCATCATTACTCCAAGTATGTCTTTTATTTTATCTTTTTAAGCATCCTTTCCTTTCCTTCTTTCATAAATCTCTCTGCCCGTCTTTTTTTCCCCCTCTCCCCCTCAGTATCGAAAACTAATTAAATAATCTGTTAGCTAACACGTTAAATTAAGATCCAGTGCTCGTTTTAATGATGTCGGCGATTGAATTGACAGAGAGGAGACAAGAAATGTGTCTGTCAATATCGTCCTTTCCTGGTTATGGCATAGAAAAAGTGCCGTTCGTAAGCTGCTTTTAAGAAAGAGGTAGTTAACGGTTATAATCTCGAGGGACCCCCTTTCTTCCCCTCGTTAGCTCCTGCTCGTTGGAGATTGGAGAACTTGCCTCCAGTAACTTTTGGAGTGTTTTCTAGCTCCTATCAGAGCACACCAGGTATGGAGGATGATGGATCTGGAAGGCCTAAAAAAATAAATAAAACTCCATGGAGAAAGGTTTCCAAAACATATGGGCAATTTTAAAAATTGGCCCTATTTGCCCCTCCAGCTTTTTGAATTAATTGTCTTCTAAACAGGACACTTTCTAGAGCTTTCTGGAGTTGTGTATTTGGCCCCAAAAGGTCTTTGAGTCCAAGTCCCGAGTCCCTATTAAAAAAACAAACTCCTCCCCCCCCAGAAAAAAGGAAGGGGTTCTGGATGGGTTCTGGGTCGCTAGTGGAGTCCAAATCATTGGGGAGAAACCCCAAGTTGAGTCAACCCACCAGTGTGGCTTAAGCGCTGAATGTGCATAGTGTTGAATCGTCCTTTGGTGAACCCTCTTGATGTCCAACAACGGTTTTGTTTCCTCAAAAATCTTCCGGGTTTCGACCCTGTGGCTGCTGGGGGTTGGCCCATAAAAGGTCTACCTCCCAACAAGGTTGGGGACCACTGCCATAAAAGGTCTACCCCCCAGCCTTCCAAACGTTGGACTACGTCCTCCCAGATTTTATTCTCTCAGTTTTCTATGAAGCTCTGCGTGGTCCTCAATGAGCCTCAACTCACGTTGGCTGCCTCTTAGTAAGAAGGAACGTGGTGGAGTCAGAAACGTGGTCCACCTTGCTCTCTTTTGTCCACACCACGGTGACCATGGCTGTCCCAGATCTGGGGTTGGATTTATTCCTGGCCCTGCCTGGAGATCCGTGGCATGCCCCGGTGGTTTCCCATATGTGGACGAAGCAGGACCACCACCACCCCCTTGGCATCCGTGGCCATGGTGGCACCGGTTCCAGTAGGAAGAAGGGAGGGGGATGCATACTTCTAGAGAAAAGTTACTCTTGAAGTCTGAAGCCTGGAGGTAGAGGGAGGAGGAAGACGGAGGGTGAGAGAGAAATCAATTTCTGTGATGGTGTGATATTGAGAGAGACAACATTCATCTATTACTTAGAGCTTCGCTGGGATTAGAATAGTCGTGTCAACAACCAGCCGGCTTTAAACAAACTCTCAGCAGCGTCTGCTTTCTCTCCAACCCGGTCTCCATTCTTCGGGCCCTGATCTTTCACAGACCCCACCAAAAAAAAGTCCTGCATGTGGTTGGGACAGACAGAATGCATCCTCCAGAAGTTGTCAGACTACAACTCCCATCGCCCTTTGTGGGCAGGGGAGGGTGGGCATAGTGGTCCAAACCCACCTGGAATGGAAGAAGGGGCTTCCCTGGCTTCGGGTTACCAGTGGCATCGGCTCTCACTCCCATAAGGCCACCTTGAACCATAGTCGGTGTGATGGGAGGTGTAGTCCTGCGACCTCTGGAGAGCCGAGGTGGGGAGCTGCTATCGAACGCCTCCAGAAAATGTCTCCCATTTTCTGTGTCTCTGTATTTCTAATCTCCGCCCACTCCTTTTCTTCGTTAAATGTATTAATTGGTCCACTCAGTGTAAAGATGTGATTGGCAAGTTGGGTGGACAGCCAACGCTAATCACATATTTCTCTCCGACTGTACTTTCTTCAAGGCTGAGCTCACAGCATCCAGTCCCTCAACCCCAGCCCCATGTACCGTGGGTCTAGCTGACACTCTGGATTCACCTTGGTGCATCTGAAGTTGTCTGTTGGGCATGAACACAAGAAGGTCCGCCTCAAAAGCATGTCTAGTTCTGAGTTGCATTCAACACAGCGCTATGGCACTGCTGTCAGGTTGTCTGTCTGTTCAGCACCTCACCCGGCATCTTCTGTCCCATTCAGGGGCCTAACAGCTGGACATGGAGTCATTGGAACATCTTCAGAGAAGAGTAACCTAAGGGGTAAAGATCCTGGATCCCAACTCCTAAGAGGAAGTAGGAGTGGCTCTATTTCAATTGACTACCTTGAAGAAGGTGTTTTATGTTGCTCTGAACCATACCAAGGAGCTCCTCTCATCATGAAGTTGTTTCTCTTCTCCATTCTGGATCTCCAGCCCTTTGTTTGGGGGAAACTCAGCACAAAAGCTTATGCTCTAATACAAGGGTGCAATCTTTAAAATGCCACAGGGGTCTTGGTCTTCATAGCTGACCATCCATCCTTCCACGCCACCTACCATAGCTCTTCAGCGAGGAGATAGTGGTTACCAGGTGAGCTTCCGAGTGAGTTTTAGGGCTGAAGAAAGAGATAATGGTGGTTTTCTGGAAAGTTGCAGAATTCAGATTTTCTTAGTGGAGGACTGTTTGAAATGATCTTAAAGATTTGATTTTGGTTTTTTTTCCAGACTTATTGAAGGAGGTTCAAGTGTTTTGTGGGGAGAGGAAGAGAGAAAATACACAGTGTGTTGTAGCTTCAGGGAGGGGAAAAATCGCCCTGATTTTTTAAAAATATATCTAAAGAGAGGTATTAAGCATATTAAAATAAATTATTTTTCAGAGACTAAAAGCAAAGTGGATGGCAGGAGCCAAAGTGGAGAGGATGCTGGGGAAAACATTGAGCGCCTTTATCAATATTCCTTCTGAAATTGTATAATGCGTTTTTTTTCCTTTTCTGAAAAATTAATAACCTTGCTTTGGGTCTATCGACTTTTCCCTCTGGCTCCTGTAGATGATGTCCAGAGAAAATCAAACACACACAGAGAAAGAAAGCTTTGCTGACCCTCAACATATATGTTGCTGGCACGTTCGTATCCCAAACCTCACCAGGATTGTGGGTCTGAAGTCTTAGAAGCCTCCATGTTGCACTCTTAGGTTTGTAACCTGAATATGTTTCACACTGGCATTCTCAAAGTTATTTCGGCAAAAGCAGAATTCGCCATAAGTGTAGGAAAGATACAGTGTCCTCTACCCAAACGTCTCAAAAAAAATCTGATCCAGGGAAGTGGGGCACTCTGGCTGATGGGTCAAAGAGGGCCTTATATGTAGACACAGAGACACAGACACAGAGACACACACACACAGAGAGAGAGAATATGCGATTTTACTACCTGAATCACTTTGGGTTTAAGCCATGACATTTCTCTTTAATTTCTAGCTTCCAACTGGGATATTTTGGCTTGTGTTCGGCAAAGCCAGTTTGATTGCAATTCTCTTGGCTTGCAGAGTGGGATTTGCTGGCTGCCACTATCGTTAGTTGAGCAGGATTTAAAGCGGGGTGATTTTTTTCCCTCATTGAAGTCGCAGAGGATCCATCTCTCAGGAACCTGAGAATTTATTCCCAACTCCCACCAAAACAACAACAGCAACAAAACGTATTGTGGGGGCTAGGAACCAGTCGGTTCTCTCAAGATCCAACAAAGTTTAGTACCACCTAGTGACTAAATGGTGGAATGACATTATCCACACCAAAGGCCTGTCTTCTGGAACTGGCAGAGGTGGAGAACTACAACACCCATTTCCCCCCATCAGAATGGTTAATAATATTTGGAGGGTGCCAAAGCCATGGAAGTTTCTATTAGACAAATGGATAAACCAGGGGAACACAGTGAATGGCCTTTAAACTGCTTGATAAGGGCAAAAATCTATGTTTGGAGGCAACGTAGACTGAAAGATGGGTGTTGGTGGTGTGGAAAAGAGAGGTGATGGGTCTTGTCTTTGTGAGAGATAAATAGTGGGGTGTATATGTTGATCTATCCCATTCAGACACTCTAGCCATCATGAGATTTTATTAGAGCTCCATATTTTTCATGCAAGGATGAGGAATTAATTTTGGGGAATTAGGGCTCTGTGCAGAGATAATGTCCAAAGGGAGTGGTTGTCCAACCAAACCAGGACCCTTGTGGGACCTTCCATGCTCATGACCTTCAAAGTTGGCTAGAAAGATGTGTGTGGATGACAACCCACTTTTGATGTGCTCAGATGTCTATGAAACACAGCCCATAAAATATAGAAATACGTACTTTGTGGGGTTCACAAAATCTTGCGTCAAATAAAGCAGGTCGGTTCTAGAGAGGGCCTGCTCTTGTGGGACTCTCCATGATGAAAGGACCTGGGGTGTTGTTTATTACTGGCTGTGGTCACCTTTGAAGGATGTTGTAGTTGTGGATTTTTTGCACAGCCAAGAAGGGCAAAGTTAGATGAACTCGAGGTGGCTCTTTCGTACTCTTTGATTTCCGGCCTCTCCAAGCTTATGTCTTCCACCCAACCTGCCATGAATCGCCCTCATTAGGAAGGCTTTGACGGGTCGGTGAGAGTGGGGAAGATTTGCGGATCAGACGGACGATTTATGCTGAGGTTTTAAGAACACAAGGATGTCTGACGGAACGGCTGCTAAGATCTCAGCAGCTGACAGGGGCAGTGGATTGCCCGTCAAGGATCGAACGGAGACATCAATGATGTTAGCCTTAAGTGAAAACAAACAACCAGGAAGGGTTTCTGGGGGGGCGGGAGAGCACGAGCGAGCTGTTAATGGTCTTCGCGAGACCATCCTCTTGGCATTGTAGGTTCGGGCAGTGCCTGGCATAGAGATTACTCATGTCTGAATGATGTACTACGGTGGCTGGAGGTTTCCAGTGCCCAGATCGGCTCTACAGGTGCAAATCTTCTGCTCCGTCAAGGGTTTGATTTTTCAACTCAACTGGAGAAGTCCTAAATGTTGGGTTTTAGTCCGAACAGCACAGCAGCTATCTGTGTTGCTGAATCCAATTCTCTACGCAATTCCCACAAAGTCCAGAGTCTCGGACAGTTCCTTGGAGGTTCGGACCAAAACCCAGAGCTGTCTGCTCTCCACTGGGCTCAATGAGAGGAGCAAACTGGATTTGCATGGAGGTTGACTTATCATTGACCCTTCTAACTTGAACAGGTTTCTTCTGTTAATTTGATTTAGGCTCGAGATATGGGAAGCTAGAAGTTCTGGCTTCCAGACACTGTACTGAAGTAAGCTTTGAATGGATGACCCCCCAAGGAGGAGAGTATGGTACAATGGTTGGAGGGACAAAAGCCATCCAACTTAAGATGGAACTTGTTTAGCTTATTAAGAAGTAAGACTTGAGCCAAAGCATAAAATTCATGAAGGCATTTAAGCTTATGAGACTCCAAAAGTTGGCCTTTTAAATTATATTTTGAGCAGCTGAAATAAAGGTCTCACCCTATTCAATTTTTTCTATTGTGCTTTCTCTTTGTGTGTGCTAACAGGTGATGATTTTGCCTCCATCATGAGTGGGAGGTAAGATCTCGTCCATAGTATTTTCCCTGCAGAGGATAAGCCGACGCTGGAATGAATGCCTTTCAAGATGTTGGTTCTGCCATCAACTCAAGAGGTCTTAGCATTGTAAGTACCCAATGGGAAAAAAACTCTTTAAGTGGGGTGGTGGGATGGAGGTGGGACTACCTTTAGTGCTTTGATATTCAGTCACAGAAGGTGGGTGGCTGAGAGAGATGGTGGATCCGTCATGGGAGAGGGTGGAAGGAATCAAAGATGGGGAAGGTTTCACTATATTCCCACCATCTTGGCTCATACAGGAAGAGGGAGAGAGGGCGTAAGGAAGGAGCTGATAATGAAAGGAAGAGAGAGGGACGGAGGAGCTCAGGGAAGGAAGGAAGGAGCTGGGGGTGGATAAGAGGAAGGAAGGAAGGAGCTGATGATGGATAAAAGGAAGGAAGGAAGGATGGATGGATGGAAGGATGGATGACGGAAGGAAGGAGCTGATGATGGAAGGAGCTGATGATGGATAAGAGGAAGGAAGGAAGGAGCTGATGATGGATAAGAGGGAGGGAGGGAGAAAGGAAAGGGGAGGGGAAGGGAAGAAGGTTCTTATTGGGTGAAAGGAGCAACCATGGGAAACTGCTGATCACCAGAAAATGTAGGAAAGGTATTTAAAGCATTCATCCAAGTGCATCTACTCAAGAGTAAGTCCCATGGAACTCCATGGGTCTCACTCTCAACCCTACTCAGTGTAACATACTCTCGGCCTTGATTCATCCAAGTGCATCTACTCAAGAGTAAATCCCATGGAACTCCATGGATCTCACTCCCAACCCTACTCAGTGTAACTTACTCTCAGCTTGGGCTTCGCCTAGGGAAGCACCAACCATCTCAAGAAGTATTCGTGAAGGCTTTCACGGCCGGGATCTAATGGTTGTTCTGGGTTTTTAGGGCTCTTTGGCCGTGTTCTGAAGGTTGTTCTTTCTAACGTTTCGCCAGTCTCTGTGGCGGGCATCTTCAGAGGAAGAGCACTCTGTGCTCTGGTGCAGTTTGTTTGGGAGTCGCGTCTTTCTCAAGAAGGTTCGGTCCCAAAGGACTTGGAGTGTCCGGAAAAGCTTGGCTCGTTCTTTAGCGTTCTCGGGCATTCAGCCCCAGCCTGTGGGAGGAAAGGTCTCCGTTGGGGCTCCTTGTAGGGTCTGACCGGAGGCCAATCAGCTAGGAGGCACAACTGGCCGGCCCAACGGACCCTCCTGGGGCAGGCCACGCCGGGTTTGTTCCACAGCGATAAGAGAAGGGGGTCAATAGAGTTTTCTGGACATTCCTCCCCCACCCCATCTCTTTCGTCTTTTCAGAAAAGACAAGACGGAGAAAGGTTAAATGTGAGAGGGTATTGATTTTTCTCGGCTGTCTCCTGCCCCCCTCTCCTGGAGCCAGCCTGGAGGAGGGCGGGCGCCCCCCCTTCCAATGGCGGGGCCAAACTGACCAACTGACCACAAGAAAAGAGAGAGGAGGGGGGGCACCTCTGCAGGCTAGGCCGGATACATCGGTCCGGAGAGGCGGACCAATGGCAAGGTCCTCCGTGAGATCTGTTGCTTAGCAACCCTGTGAGGAAGGACCAAAAAAAGAGCAGGAGGAATAAAAAGAGAGATGGATTTTTTTCAACCCCCCCCCCTAAATGCGGCACACGTGGATCAATTCGGCAACACAGGAAACAGTGACCAAACGGAGTCGTTTTTTGCTTGAAGCGCCTTATTGATCTCGCCCTGCGATGGGCGTCGAAAGAGGGTTAATAAGCCCCTGGTCAGCAGGGAATGAGGGCTTGAGGGATGGCCTTCTGTCTGTTCCCACCTTCAGTCTTCTCATCTTTCATCTTAGAAGGGCGGAGTGGGAAGGGGACCCCTAAGGGTCATCCAGCCCAGCCCCTGTCAAGGAGGCCCCGTGAGGGATTCGAACTCCCCGTCTCTGGCCCCGCAGCCAGATGCCCAAACCCCCGACCTATCCAGCCAGCTAAACTACTGAACCTTCATTCGAACAGATATCATCATCTTACACTGTAGTGCTGGAAGGGACCCAGTCCAGCCCCTACCAAGGAGGCCCAGTGGGGGGTTTCGAACTCCCAACCTCTGGCTCCACCACGGGAGACCGAAACGGCCGTCCAGCAGGGTTGAACTCCCAACCTCTGGCTCCACCACTGGAGACCGAAACGGCCATCCAGCAGGGTTTCCCCCCCCACACACCACTTTCTTTTTAATTGGAGAAAGAAAGAAACAGAGATTTTATTTTAAAAATAAACCAAGAACCCACAAATACAGTTTTGCACATGCGGTGGCAAGCTGTGGCTGCTGGAACGGGGGTGGTAATTCTAAAATGATCCCCCCCCCAGGATACGTGGCTTTTTTGAATGCTGGATTTGTGGACCAAGCTTGGAGGAGGTGGCTCGCCGGTCTCTGCTCGAGTCTCTGATCACACGAGTAGCCAAAAAGCCCACTTTTCTGTAACTCGGAGGGGCCTTTTTTTCCCCTTGCTGTCAGAAACGGTGGCTTGGCTTTCCAGCTGGGTTCAAAACTTGGTGTGTGTTTTTTTTTAACCTCCATCTTGCAAGAGCCAGGTTGCGTTTAATGTCTTGCTCTGTCTTTCAACGTCGGTATCAGAAATGCGTCGTAGCTTCTTATTGCTCGGGAGGCGACCGGATTGAGCCGAAGTGCCTGGTGGAGGAGGGACAGGGAAAGAAAATACAATCAGATCAATACCTCAGTATGAATTTACTCCACATGGGACTCAGCCACCAATATTCTTGTCCCGTCTTCTGTTAAAGAGATAGCAGCCATATCGGCGAGAGATGCTTTAATTGCCTTTATTAAATGGTTGATTTCTGCCCCTTTCCACTTGTGGGATGGGATTGAAGAGAGGTTTTTAAATGGCCCAGATCCAGCTTTTATTCTAATTTTTTAAAAAATGTGGCCCAGTTCTCTGCCGGTTTTGTATTTATTGTCGTTATTTTAGCCATGGAAATTAGAATTTGGGGTGTTTTCCCCCCTCTTGTAATGGGGCAGAACTTCAAAACAGGATGATGCTAAGCATTAATGGGTCTAAGAGGGTTCATTAATGAGTTTTTTTAACTAGCAGCATGGGGAACGTGTTCAGTTTTGCTTTCCCTCATATCTTTGTAGACGCATTAAGATTCTTGCCCCCCCCCCAAGAAGGTGTGATTTGAGAATTTGGCCAAATTCGTTTAAAAAAAATGAACGGTAATGCATGCCGTCTGTCCGCCTTGACTGAATTCAATAGATCTGCCCTTTACCAGCTGAGAAAGGACATTTTTAAAAAGCAGCTGGGGTTAAAGGTGAGGAGCATTTGGGGGGGGGAGAAATAGGTGGCAGCAAATGTAAAAGAAGGAGAGAGACATTCGGATGTGCAAATTCGCAGCTTGTTTATTTGCTTTGGAAGGTGATTATTTAAAATATTTTACCCCACTTTTCTCCTAAGAAAAGGACCCAGGGCGGCTTATGTCATTAAAAAAAGGCGGCGCGGAAAGCTAAAAAGACATTTATTTGAATATTGTTGTCGTTATGTGCCATCAAGAAGCCTCTGATTCACGGTGACTGTATGAATGAGAGCTGTCCCAAATTTCTTGTCCTCAGCCGCCCGGCTTAGCTCTTGCAAACTCAAGTCGATGGTTAGTTAGTCCATCTTGTACAGTATTTGGCCTTCCTCTTTCCCTACTGTCTTCAGCCTTTGCCAGTAACACTGTCTTTCTGGTGTTATTTTTGCCTCCAGAGACCGTTCAGGCTTAATTTGCTCTAGGACCTCCCCTACCACCACCTTTGTTCACCTTTCTGGTGCTCAACGTTATCTGCCCGGTCCTCCGGCACCACATTTCAAGGCCATTAATTTTCTTTCAGCTTTGAATATTAGAAACAAAGGAATAAACATTACATTCAAAATACCAGATCGAAGCGTTATTAAAACAGACTTAAGAGCATTAAAAGAGTTTACCATTTGGAGACTGTTGTCCATCCACCAGGTGACCCATAATAACTGGCATGTTTTCATTCTGTATTCTATTAATATTAAGTCATCAAAATGAATTTGCACCCAAACATTGGCAATGCAAAATGGCCACTCTACTTAAAATGGAATGCAAACCGAACCATACTAAATGTTTTTATCTAGGTATCTAAGTGGTCTTCCATCCAACAATTAATTTGATGAGGTTCAAGGATAATCTCCATTGAAAGGGCAGTTGGATTTAGGCTCCAATGAATAAATAACGGTGTGTGTGTGTGGAATGGAAGTACATCTCCCAGTTAGCTCGGCCTCTTGAGCTCCCTGCTCCACTCTAGATGTTGTGGCCACATCCACCTCTGAGGAAAATTGGAAATTCAGTTAGCGTTTTCATCCATATCAGTTGGACCAGTAAAAACTTCCCCCAGCAATGGGTCTTTTGCAAAGCTAACAGCTCTTGATTACCCATTCAAGACCATCCATTATTGGCACCAGGAGACCACAATAACAATGTTAGGACTTCTATTAGTATTAGGTGAGTAGATTGGGACCTATTTGGCCATCCAGGGTGTCATCTCTGTTTTCGGTGAAATCTGGGGATTGTCCTGATTTTCTCTGATTTCTTTCCTCCCTCGTTGATAATCCCTTTCTTGTCTCTTGGAGGAAGGAAACATGAGGGAGGGGGACCCCCTGCCAGTCCTTGGATTTTATCTTCCCCACCCCAAGAGACCCACAACGTGATCAATCAGGTCTTGAAAATTATGATTACACCCTATAAATCTCGATTATGATGGATTAATTGATTGCACCATTCCTGGCATTGGGATTTCTCCTGCCTTCCGTTTCTCCGACGGCGTGGGAAGTGAGGAGAGGAAAGGCATGAACGATTGAAGAAGGAAAGATGAGGAACAACCTGATCCGAGACCATCATCCACAGTTCAGGCAAAGAGCCCCTCCAATCCTATTTAAATTCCAAAATAAAATAAAATAAAAATTAGTTGCCAATGTGGTCCTCCCCTTTTATCCAATTGATTTCTTTCAAATGTTTTTCTCCCACCATTCTCCGACAGAAAAAAAAGGCCCAAGGCAGCTTACACCGGATTAAAAGAGGACAGCCATGAATCCGTCAAATATTTGAAAAGGAATTAATGCCACTACGTTGAAACTGTTGTAATTTCTGTTCTTTTAAAATTCACTTTGGGGGCTAAAGAGTCGTGGGATCCATTTCAGACAGGCTCTTGAACAGTAGAGAATCCAAGTGCTTTCAAAAATGGATGATTTTTCATGGCTGTGGAAAGGAAAAACGGGGACAAAAATCTACTCTTTTAGAAATATATTCCCCCCCCCCGCCGGCTTTGGAGGCGATGCCGAGGTTGGAAGGCACCTAATAGGTGTTTGGACAGTACATTTCCCCACACTTGTGGAGAGCTGGATCTGATGATTCTCACTTTATAACAGGATTCCACTTTCTTGGATCGCCACCCGGCACAGTGAACATGTTTTCCTCCGGTTGAGTTGCGCTCTCTCTCTCTCTCTCTCTCTCTCTCCCTCTCTCTCTCTCTCTGTGTGTGTGTGTGTAAACGCTAGGTGCCCGTGACTGTCTGTCTGTCTGTCTGTCTGTGTGTAAACGCTAGGTACCCGTGGGGCCCCGCCATGCAACCCACCCTCCCATCAGGGGCCGGCACAACTCCCTTTCATAATTAATAGATGAAGAATATTGCTATTTATTAACGCAGCCGTGAAGGAAATATTGATCTCGCCAGCCGGCTGCTTCTGGTGTGTGCGTGTGTCAGCTCAGGATGGGTGGCTGTGTGTCGTGCGGGCCGTGGGTTTAGAGATCTCAAGAGCGAACTGTAAAAAATCTCAGGGTTTTGGGGGGCAGTTTTTGCAAACGGAACTGGGCAAGTGTTGGGGGAAAAATTGGACGCAAGTCTCACGGGTGAGGTGAGAGGAAAAGATAAATCTAAAACCCAGGTGCTGTGTTGTGTATTTTCTTGCATTGGCAACAGCCGGGCAGCTCTGATCCAATTTGAATATTTGATTAATAATAGATCAGAGCTTGTGTAGAAGGGGGGAAAAATCTTTATGCCCATCATTTTAAGTAGGTAAAAGTCAGGAACAGTCGAGAAAAGGGGGTGGGGAGATGTCCAGAATTTTCTTCTGCTACATCGGGGTTGAGCAGGCTTTTGAAATGGGTAGTGGGAGGCCACCGGGCTTAAATTTCAATTTGAACTGGATGGATCCCTTTGTTAAAAGGAAAAATTGCAAAAGAATTTTTTAAAAAAGAGAGAAGGAGATATTAAAAGTTTCAGTGAGGCCTGCAGAATTTCCTAGAGAAATAAATTCTAGGATTTGATTTGATGTCGTTTTGAAAGGATTTGCTGAAAAAATGGATAGATTCGGAATGGAACGAATTGGAGATTTTTTTGGGGGGGGGAATTCGAACCAAACCAGATAAATTTGCCCACCCCGAACTCCAGGTTGCTTTATAGGACTGAAAGCAAACATGCTGAGGACGGTGGTCTTTCTTTCTCCATCTTGCTGCCACCTCCCGGGCTTTGCTGCCTGAGGCCACAGTAGTGGTTGATTGACATGGCAAACAAAGGAAGAAAATCAGAAAGCTGAAGGGCTCAGCCTCTCAACCCCCCCCCATCCTTTTAACAACTGGGGTGGGTATGGAGGAGTTACATCTTCTGTCCTCCTTAATATTCTTATTCAGTTCTTCTCAAACTGAATTTATAACTTTGTATTTTCTAAGCTGATATGCCTCCCACCGAGTTGGTGTAAAGGGAAGGCCAGGCCTCCCCTCTGTGCTCTGAAACAGTTTTTACCTACAAAAATTGGCTACTTTCCGCCAAATTAAAAAAATGGGGATCCTGGCCTGGTCTTGCCACATCCCCAGAATTGATCTCCACCTTCCCCCTTAGTTTCAAACAAACCCACTCCTTCTGCACTTTTTACCTGTGTTCAGCCCAACTCCCTGCTGGCTTCTCAGCCATCTCTTCTTCAATGGATCCACAGGGACGGATGCAAAATTAATTGCAGTAATCAACTCGGCCAGATCGGGGAGATCCTCCGCACACGGTTTTTGGTGACTAATTGGTGATAGTTGACCGGGATGTGTGTGTGTCCCGAGTATCCAGGGAAGCATCGGTGCCAATTCCCCCCAGCCCATCACCACCTTTCCTCCTGAAATAATTACCTTCCCCCTGCATATTACTCAACCAGCCCATTTGTGGACCAAGGAAGAAGAAACACCAGAAAACAGAGATAAGCCATGGAAGGACGGAGCTCACATTCATCCCACTGGAATCGTAATCTCTGCGGGTTTTAGTCCGAACCAACGTGGTTTTTTTCCTGGGGAATGCTTCCGCCCTCTGGGCCATTCACAATTTTATTGCCTCTGCATTTTAAAAAATGGTCCTGATCTTTTCGGTGGCAACTTTTGGGAAACGGGCCACCCCATTTCCTTCCTTGTTCCAAGAACTGTGATTTTTCCAACAGCTACCTTTGGCCATTAGGGGCCCTGATGGGGTGGTTTCATCCCAGCATCGAGGACATCTCAGTGACGTCCTCCACGGGTGACCGGTGGTGAACCCTTTCCTGGTGCAACAGCCGGCTCACTTTCTTCTTCCACCAGACCTGAACCCAGCCCCCAGTCACTTCTTTGGGGGGAATCCATTCCAAGCTTCTACCCCATGCCAACCAACCTCTCCACCCAGTTCTCTATGATCCTTAATAATTAGACCAGCCAGTCAATAGCAATTAGAGCTAACAGCCACTCAACAGGATTGACGCAAATTATTTTAATTTTATGTTTTCATTGACCCTCCTTTTCCAGGTTGGCTTCTTTCCTCCCGTCTTTGGAGTAGGAAGAAATGATGGGGCAGGGAGTGAAATGAGAAGAGGAGGATGTTGGTAGAGAAAATGACGGCATAATTAATTGCACCCCCAGTGCTGGGGGGGGGGAAGTCGAGCGTCCACTTACAGCTAATTAATTCTCATGCCCACTTCCCCTTCTTCATCAGTCGTCCGGAAATAAAGCTGAGAAGATGCCTTCAGATGGTGAACACACCTCTCTGTGCAAAGTATGCGCACAGATACTGTACAGTATGGTGTAGCGGTGAAGGCTATTTGGACTAAAACCCGCAAAGGTCGGGATTCAAATCTCTGCTGGGCATGAAGCTCAGGAGGACCTTGTTCCCCTTAATTTGTTAATTTATTTCCTAAATTCTGGAGCTGTTGATACATATGCACGCTGATATGTATTGCATCAGGTACTTGAGTATTTCTGGAAGGTCAGCCATAGCGCTTACCCTGTTAGTGTCCAACTGTTAAGGAAATCTCATTTGTTCTTCTTTAAATGGTGGGGGATTTGATTGATGGGTGAATTTGTTCCCTATTCAGCCAAATTGTGAATTGGTTCATCTTTCCAATATCAATTACAATTGGCGGAAATGTCTGTAATTAACAGAGTGAAAAACAACAAACCATTAGAAACCCAACCTTAAAAGTATTTTAAGGAGGAGAATAAGAAACATCTAATTTGTTCCTGAAAAAAATTGTTTCAGGCACTGAATTCGTCGTTTGAAGTTGTAGCGAATTACAGTAACAAATTGTTTTTCAATGAATTATTTCCAAACTCTATGGAGTAAGTGGTCTCTTTTATGCAATCTTGCAGCAACTGATCTGCTCTATCCCACCTACCTTGCAAGGTGGTTGTACATCTCTTATCCCACCCCTTTATTTTATTTATTTATTTTATTTGTTCGATTTATATCCCGCCCATCTGGTATATTCTACCACTCTGGGCGGCTTACAGAATAGCAAAAACAATTTAAAAAAAACCGAGTAAGTGGTCTCTTTTATGCAATCTTGCAGCAACTGATCTGCTCTATCCCACCTACCTTGCAAGGTGGTTGTACATCTCTTATCCCACCCCTTTATTTTATTTATTTATTTTATTTGTTCGATTTATATCCCGCCCATCTGGTATATTCTACCACTCTGGGCGGCTTACAGAATAGCAAAAACAATTAAAAAAAAAACAAAAAACCATAAAACATTAGCATACAACAATAACAAATAGTGCAGGAATAAATAAATAATAAATAGCAAAGCAAAGAAATCAGCAGTTGACGGGAGGGAAGGCCTGGATGTACATCCATGTTTTCAGCTGGCATTTGAAAGTACCCAGCGTTGGGGCCTCGCGAATTTCTGGAGGAAGGTTGTTCCAAAGGCGAGGAGCCACCGCCGAGAAGGCCCAATTTTCTGTCTTTTCCTTCAGGGCCTCCCTTGGCGTCAGGCTCCTCAGCCTCACCTCCTGACTCATGCGGGTGATCCGAGTAGATCTTGGTGGGAGCAGGCGCTCTGCCAAGTATCGAGGTCCTAAACCGTTTAGGGCCTTATAGGTAAGCATTAGAACTTTGAAGTCAACGCGGAAACGGATGGGCAGTTAGTGCAGTTTGGCCAGAACAGGAGAAATATGTTGGTGTTTTCTCACTCCAGTAAGGAGTCTGGCTGCCGCATTCTGCACCACCTGAAGTTTCTGCATCAGCCTCAAAGGCAGCCCCACGTACAGCGCGTTACAGTGGTCTAGTCTTGAGATTATGAGCACATGTACCAAGGTAGTGAGCGCCCCATGTCAAGGTAGGGTCGCAGCCGAGCAATCCGCCAAAAGTGGAAAAGGCGGTGCGAACTACCGACACCACTTGGGTGTCCATGGTGAGTATCGGGTCCAGGTGTACCCCCAGGCTGCGAACCCCATTCTTAGCAGCCAGGGTCACCCCCCCCAAATGTGAGAGAGCCACCCACGTCGCCAATCACAGGGCCGCCCACCCTCAGACCTTCCGTCTTGTCCGGGTTCAGCCTCAGTCCGTTCTCCTGCATCCACTGCAGTACGGCCCCCAGGCAGCGCTGGAGGGACCGGACGGCATCACCTGCAGTTGGTGAAAAGGAGATGTAGAGCTGGGTGTCATCCGCATACTGATGACACGAGGCTCCACACCCCCTGATGACCCCACCCAGCAGCCTCATATAGATATTAAACAGCATTGGGGAGATAATCGACCCCTGTGGGACCCCACAATTGAGATTCCACGGGGCCGAGACACTCTCCCCAAGCTGTACTCTCTGGGGTCAGTCCTCCAGGAAGGAACAGAGCCAGGCTAACGCCAAGCCACCAATTCCCACCTCGGAGAGCCTCCCCAGGAGGATACCGTGGTCGATGGTATCAAAGGCTGCCGAGATGTCGGGGAGAACCAACAGAGACATTTTGGACCTGTCGGCCTCCCTCAACAGGTCATCGTACAGGGCGACCAATGCAGTCTCTGTACCGTGGCGTGGCCTGAATCCCAAGGAACAGAATAAGAGGGAGTGATCAGCATCAAGAACTGTGAATGTTATTTTTGTTGTTGTTAACTTCATATCCCAGCACCCCCTTGGAGTTCCCATTGGCTGGGGAGTATGGGATCAGATGCTCTCATGGCCTTCAAAAGAGAAATTAGGGTCCTTTCCTCTTGAGAAGCCAAGCCCACAAGTGCGTACATACACCCAGCAGAGATCAGGAGATGGATTGAAACGACAGGATGAACCCACCTGGTACTTCTGGAACAAAAATGCAGCCAGAGTGACGGCTCGTTTGGGGCAATCGTACGACTAATGGGAAAATGACAGACAAGACAGACAGACAGACAGACAGACAGACAGACAGACAGACAGAGTGTGAGAACGTTGGGTGAGAAATGTTTTTGCTCTTTTGAAGGACTAGTTTTGGGGGGGAAACAACCTTCTAGCATCCCTCCTCTGCACTTGAAGATGAGGAAAGCAAAATCAGAAGCTTGAAAGAAAAAGGGGCTGGTTGGGAGGTTTTATATGATGGAAGGAAGGAAGGAAAGGAAGACAGACAGACAGACAGACAGAGTGTGAGAACGTTGGGTGAGAAATGTTTTTGCTCTTTTGAAGGACTAGTTTTGGGGGGGAAACAACCTTCTAGCATCCCTCCTCTGCACTTGAAGATGAGGAAAGCAAAATCAGAAGCTTGAAAGAAAAAGGGGCTGGTTGGGAGGTTTTATATGATGGAAGGAAGGAAGGAAAGGATGAATGGATGGAAGAAAGGGAGGGATAGATGGATAGATAGAAGGATGGAAGGAAGAAATGGATGGATGGGTAGATGGATAGAGTGTCTCCATCGTAGGGCATCACTTTGGTCTCTTCTCCTGCCTTCTTTGTTTCTCTCAACGCTAAGTCCTCCAAACTGCACAGACGTCCGGATCAATAGGCTGACCGCCTTTCCACAGATCATACATGCGAAGAGTAGATTTCTGGGATCGATGAGGTAGAGGAGAGGCGTGTGGAGCCCTTGGAGGGGGGCCGTTGCCCTGGCAACAAGCCCTGTTCCTTGCCTCCGAGTCTCCCAACTCCCCCACCCCCGGTCCTTGGACCACGGTACCCTCTGCATGCCTTTCCGAACCTGTCCCCCCACCTCTAACCCACCCCTACCGTGGGGAGGACCAGTTGCCCAGTTGCTCAAAAAGCACCTGTGGTTTTTATATATATGTATAAAAAAAGATGTGCCTTTTAAAGGATATCGGGTCTTAATCATCCTTTTTTTTAAAAAAACACACAAATGAATTGTCTTAGTAAATATGTTTTGTTTTTATAGTGGGAGAGAAGGAAGGAAGGGTGTTTAAAAATAATAGTTTGAAGGAATAAAGGAAAAGACAGTTGAGAGAGGAAAGGATGGCAGGTGAGGGAGGAAAGAAGGAAGGAGAATGTAGGTTTTAAATTTTTAAAAAAGATTGATTTTAGTGAAGCAAAATGTAGGTTTTAACTTTTTTTAAAGGTTAGTTTTAGTGACTATATTAAATTTTTACAGAAAAGAGGAAGGAAGGGTGACATAAATTCTGGAAGAAAGGAAGGAAGGGTATATTCATCAAGAATATTCATCAAGAATATTGGGGCTTATTGGGGGGGCAGTTTATGTCCATACATGTATCAGATAGATAGATAGATAGATAGATAGATAGATAGATAGATAGATAGATAGATAGATAGATAGGATTTAATGGTGTTCTCTTTTTTTCTGGTCTGAAGAATATCTGGAAAGAAAGAAAGAGTGAAATAAAGAAGTTAAAAAGAAAAGGGAAAATAAAGAAGGCTTGAGAAAGGGGGAGAAGGGAACCTCGGAGGGCCAAGATGGGGGTTCTAGAGGGCTGTAGGCGCCCGACCCCTGCTCTATGCTTTCCCCCCTTATTCGTAGCGCCCATTTTTTCTTCTCCCTCTGAGAAAGCACAGCAAAGGGAATCTAAAAAGTCACTCGGGTGAAAATTAGCTCCTTTTAAAATTTCATTTTATTTTTGGCTGGTGGTTTAGGCTGTATTTATCTCCATTGCCTCTAAATTAGTTTTCCGCGGAAGAGTAATCAGATGGGGTAATAGAGACGTCAACAGAAACCGGCCCCTTGTTAACTGCTCAAAACCAAACCTGGAGTGGGTGAGATCTGAGCCCGAAGAATCCTGAGGGTTTGGGAAGTTACATTTTGTGAAAGTTACATCTGGGGTCCCCCAAAGCGGCTGGTTACTGTTAAAGTTACTGTCGGAATAGATGAGAATTTATTTTCGACCCAAACAGATGGAACATTTTAGTCCTCCTCCTGTCTGGTCTTGTTGGGAAATTGGCACAGAAGCACTGGTTTAGGCCTCATCTCGAGTCCTGTGTTCCAGTTCTGGACACCACACTTGAAGAAGGATGATTACAAACTGGAGCAAGTTCAGAGGAGGGGATAAAGGATGATCAGGGGACTGGAAACCAAGCCCTAGGAGGAAAGACAGAAAGAACTGAAAGTTTAGCCTTGAGAAAAGAAGACTGAGATGAGACAGGATTGCGCTTTTCAAAGACCTGAAAGGTCGTCGTACAGAGGAGGGGCAGAATCTGTCCTCCATCCTCCTAGAGTGCAGGACATGTAAACATGGGCGCAAGTGACAGGAAGCCAGGTTTTGGTTGAATACTGAGGGAAATTTCCTAACTGTTAAAGCAGTACAACAATGGAACTGATGACCTCGGGAGGTGGGGAGCGCTCCCACACTGGAGTCATTCAAGAGAAAATTGGTCCTCCCTCTATCCGATCTGCTTGGATTTGGATTCCCGCCTTGAGCAGGGGGTTGGATTCGATGGCCCTAGAGTCCCCTTCCAACTGCTTGAGCCTGTGATTGCCCATAAACTCACAAACAATAGGGAGGAGAGGCTACAAGACGGAATGAGGTGTTTAAGGGATAGCACCGATGGTCTGCATCCCATCACCCAGCTTGTGGTGTCCTCCTCCATCCGACGGGCGAAAGGAAAGAAGACTCATCCACCAGTCTGGTTGGCCTTTAGACATGGAACGTGGGAGGGCGCCATCTTGCTTTGGCACAGAATTGGCTCTGCTCCTCTCTGCGCGGACCCTGGTTGTGCAGCCAGAGGGGACTTCAGGGTGGTGGTTTCTAGCTATGGACATAGAAAGAATCACGATGGGGGAAACCAGATATTCTGTTCATCCCA